GATAATCCACTACACTGTTTTACAGTGGCGTAACGATACCGTTCGAGGCCCGTGGCAAATTCATCGGATGGGTCCCCTCTAATATAAAGAAGCTGTACCAACACTAATAGTAGTTCAATAATAAATCACTACGTGGAGTAAATACAAACTTCATAATTGTAATCAAGTATATTCACGGAACATATCTAAGTACTTGATTTTTTAATAATTCACTTCAAATTGAAGGTACCTAATCCCTTTCGAGCTTGTCGGTACACATATGTACCAGTAAGAATCACGCAAAAACTATACTATATATTTTTTATGATGTAAAAGTTGGTGACATAACCTTTTTTATCCCCATGTGTAATTTATGATTTAAGGCTGATGATGGACATATATATGTCCGAAAAAACATGTACCAATTTTTGATGTGTTAATCACATTAAATGTCATAGAGATGGCTTTGTGCATCATTTAGTATTCGAGTCAATGTTTGGCTAATTTATTGTACGAGTATTTCATTTGAAGAAGCTACTATGTGAGGATTTGGTGAACTGTTTATCGTTTGTAAAGTTTTCCACATTCACTAAGAATTTCCATCAAGTAGCGGTAAAGTGAATACAAAGAAAAAACTCCTTGCTTTTACCTTCGCTAGAAAAACATTCGGTTGATTGTATCTGCTGATATTGGATTCAGGGGCAGCCGAGACCTTTGCGGGAAATAGCTTAGGGTCTAGGAGGGGACCCATGGGGCCCAATCTGCTCCATTGCTCTTCATTATGGGCCTCAGGTCCGAATATGGTTCTTTGTTGGCTAGTGGGCACTACTTCTGGCAGACAGTGGCAAGCGCAGTAGTCTTGGTCCCTGTATCTAGGCTGATATATTTGGTCACGTTCTGGCCTGCATATACAAGTGTACTGATTTTTTTTTAAATTTTTAACCCTTTCGAGCCTGTCGGTACACATATGAACCAGTAAGAATCACGCAAAAACTACGAGCAAATATTCATATTTTATATGGTTCCTTTATGTAGTACGTCTCCTACGTCTCTATATGTAACTTTTATGCACGGAGTTTTATTTGGGATGATTTGGGGTTATGTGGTAGTTATTTATTTGTGCCAGGACACGTTCTACGCTCCGTTTCCAGTTAATCTTGGAGAAAAAAAAAAGTTACATAAATTGCGCATATTCCGTGTGTGGACTTAGTTGAAGGTCTTTGCCATTCTGGCAGTAGCGGAGAGGCAAGAGGTGAAAGAGGGACCAGAGCAGAAGATTGACATCTGTTCGGATAGTCAGGCGGCTCTCAGAACTGTCTGCCATCCTAAACCAAGCTCAGCTTTGGTGCAGGAATGTGGCGATGCTCTTGGCAAACTAGCTGAACAGAAGGAAGTCGAACTAGTATGGGTTTCGGGGCACAGGGGGGTGCCTGGGAACGAGGTGGCCGACGAGCTGGCTAGAATCGGATCCGCGACACCGTTCTGGGGACTGGAGCCTGCACTGGGCATAACAAGAAGCCAAACTTCGTCTGCCCTTAACAAATGGGCGGACGAGGCTCTAGAAGTATATTGGAGACGTATAGGCGGCTGCAGGCAATCGAGAGACCTGGTGGCCGATCCAAGCAAGCTGAAGACGGCTTGGTTACTGGGCAGAAATCGCCAAGTCCTGCGCCTTCTTATAGGGATACTGACAGGGCACAACAGGTTACGCAGACACCTATCACTCAAAGGTGTGGAAGATAGTCCCATTTGCCGTGAATGCGGAGAAGATGAGGAGACATCACTTCACTTCCTCGGAGAGTATGAGGCGTATGGAAGGATGAGATTCGAAATCTTTGGAGCAGATAAACTACAACAGGATGATTTGGTCGAATTAGAGTGGACGGACATCCTGACCTTCATCAGAAGGACGGGAAGGTTCGAAAAGGACAACTAAAAGAGGGATGTGTAGATATGTGGAGAGCAGGGGTTGGCAAAAAGGGCCCATGGGAGCCTACTTGCCTGGCTACAGCCTCCCCACAGTACTACTACTACTACTAGTTGAAGGTAGATTGCGAAACACTGGTGGAAATTACAAAAAAATAGATGTTTTCTACAGTGGTACACATATGTACCAGGAGTCCGTAACTGCACTTCATGTTGGTACCGATATGTACCAAAAGTCTTCTGTAATGACTTTGTTTTTTGTTTGTTTGATCGCCACTGACATTTAACCAATAAAAATGTAACCCATAACACTTAAAACGAAAACTCGTCTCGAAAGGGTTTTAGAAAAATCACTCAACTACCTCTTGATTCTATATTTTCTAGATATTTTTCGTTCAATTTTGAGGGCCATAAATCATCAATAAAACCACGGTAATTTCCGAATGGCTAGTGATTTACCGCCACTAGCAAGTTACGTCACGATTTCGTTGAACTACGAGGGAACCTCAGAAATATTATTCATTAAATTATGTATTGGTGATGTTCCTAACTAGCTATAAATAATCCATTGTCTCAAAATTTTTCCTCTTATATGTTGTGGATTATTTCTTGTAATGAATTAGTGTATTTATAGTAATTCACGCTAGAGGACAGTTAGTGCGGTGAACGTGACAACACGACAAGGATATTGTGGGCGTTAGTTCTCAGCTTTCAGAACATGTTGCCAAGTCTCCAGCCAACATCTACATGATATTTTGTTATGTAGTATAGGAAATATTTTGACAAGCTGGTTTCTCGAAAAAGTCACATATGAATAACTATAAAATATTATGAATTTCTTCTATTAGGTCGAATGAGATATTTCATTTGTCTGCAGTTTCAACGACAGGGCTATAACAACTCTTTAATAACATGATCATATAATAATTGGTTACTTGACAATCTTGCGTAATGAGTGGAAATGAAAGAGTATCTGACCACTAATAACTGCCGTCATCATGTATTCGACGTATCCCAGATCGCAGAACAACGCTTAGACACATTATTCACATCAAAAGCGCGTAAGAAATTAATTTAGGTCCCTAACGATATAAATTGAATTCACGCATTTGTGTCCTTGCCTATTAACCAAAAATTTAACGCAACCGTTTTCATTTACACAAAAAATTGTGAAAAAGAAAATGTGAACTCAAATGACCCAGCAAACATTGAACTAGCGGGAGAAGTCCGGCCTAGTGCAGGCTAGTCTGGGAAAGTGACAATGACGGGGTATTGGTAATGGGCCGATGATTTTCCTATGCCAAGTAACCATCAGTTAAAAATACGATGATGGCCTTGTGATGGTAAGATGTCTGGAACTAATTGAATACTAACGAGATCTGGCCCTTTGCTGGCCAATTTCATGTTCGCTACTCGTCGAATGTGTTATGATGCCTGTAAATTTGGTTTGAAACTTCGGAAATCTAAAAAGATTCTCCCACGCTATACTTTTACAAAGTATGCGATATCGAGAGATTTTTAAACTCCTTTCAATGGAAGTGATAACACCATTTGTTTCCAGTTTCTATACATCTATTCTTCGTACCTCAGCTAATGTTTGAGACTTTCTTCGTGCCTTGCAGCTGGGTGCCTATAATCAGATAGAGTAGGCCCTTCTATAATACGACCAAATACGATAGCGAGGTAAGTATCTAACTAAGGCTGTTTTACTGAAATGACTTCTATAGTATTCATCAGGTTATTCTAACTAAACGTTCATAATGTAATGGTTTTTGAAATGATTTTAGGCCTACCTTAAGCCGAGAGTTTTCACATATGGCCAAAGATAATCTTTCCGATAGGTAGTGACGAACTGTCCCATAACCATTTTGCCTTGTTACTTTCCCGTGCTCATTAGGAGATCTATACAGGGAATTTTGAATGTTTGGAGATCATGCACCTTCAATTTTGATCATGGACTTTTCTGCTGGCTTACAACCAACTGTCAAAGTTACCGACTTTTATGTCAATTTGATGTCAATTGGTGGTAGTCAAGGTCATCATCTGACTTTGCGGTGACATGAAAACTATGGAAAAACATTTCTAACTTTCAATCTGAGCCAGGAGTTATAGCAGGAGAGCCAGCGGCAGATTTCTACCGTCATCTAATAACGAAATGACATGTCCCGAAGGGAAGTAAAAATATTGTAGTTCATCGAACGGCATCTGTGCCTATCACTGTCCTGGGCAAAATGATTTAAAAATTGCACTTTCCTGTGCGGAAATTTGCTCTCGGTTTCGCGATTTGATGATGAAATGAGAGTTATGCCATTTGATACCAATTGAATGGTATATCTCAAAAACATATTTGTGCTACCCCTCAGTTTGAGCCAAATCCACAGCGATTTAGTCTGCTGCGTAACGAAAATAGTGCTTCTTCATAATTTTCCAAACAAATATTATTTGATAGAAATTACCCTATTTTCAACATCTACTTGTGATGTTTAACTCAAATGAGAGGAACAATAAAGAAAATAATTTGAAAAATATTAGGGTAGGTAGGTACAATATTAAGAAAAAGTACTATTTTTACTCGTATTTTTACACGTATTCTTATTACGCAGTAGAGTGCTATCGAAACTAAGCAAGAGAACCATTTTAAGTTGAAGTTGAGAAATAAAAATTGTATTATCACAATAACTCAAGAATGGTTGATAATACCTCCTATTAAAATTCGGTATATGGTTTCATCTCTGATTAAGTCATTTTTTGACCTGATAGTCAATTAGCTCGAAAACAGCTCATAGTTAGAGATTGGATTCGATTAATTGAATATAATCTGAGTTTTCATCAGTGGCGCAGAAAATAATGAAAAAAAAAAACGATTTCACAACCCCCTGTAGCACAACACTGAATATTATGACCGGAATGTATTTCTGGTAAAAAAATTAGCTATTGGATTTGAATGGGAAATATAACTATTCTTGAGTTGATGGGTATGATGAAAAAACATTCTCATTTCTCAACTTCAATACCATGTGTCTCGAGAACTAAGCACTTGAAACCCGTATGATCCCTAAAATGGTAATTATTAAATCACGAAAGCTATCACCTGTCGCGAATTTTTGGTCGAATTTCGGAACAGAGTGTACAAATATTTTTATTAGTGCTTTATATAAAAGATGATAAAAGTTGAAATAAATATACGTGCTTCGAATTTGGCCTAAAACAACCGCAGTTCCTGGCCCATTCAATGTTCACTAAAATTCTCATCCATATCAAATCTCATCCGAAATCTTCCATTCAACTTTAATCGACCCCCATCATTATTCTCCAGCAGTCCGTAGAACTCCAATTGCTGGTCGATCCAATCTCTGAACATCGCCACATCAACATAAACCCCTGGTACATTCTCCTCGCCACAGCCGATACCCCAAGACACTATCCCCGCCTGGTAGTACCTCCCCTCCTCTCCCTCCAAGGGACACACCAAGGGACTACCCCCATCGCCGCTACACGTGTCTCTTCCCTTCTCACCCCCTGCGCACATGAAGCTCTTGTGAAGATTGAAATGTGGACCCAGCCTGGTGTGCCTGAGGCTGTGCTGGCAGGCCAAACTAGGCACCACAGGCAGGTGAAGCTTCTTGAGGATCTTGTGAGGCCCAGCAGGCTCATCGAACCTGTCTTTGCCCCAGCCAGTAGCTATGCAATTGCTCAAGCCAAAGAGATGCTGTTGATTCTGTCTGGGCAAGCAAATGACGTCCACGTTCGCAGTGATCTTCACAGCATCCTCCAGGTAGAGAATAGCTATATCGTTGGTCAACCTTTTGGGATGGAACTCTGGATGAAGTTTCACAGACTTAACAGCTACGTCTTGAGGAGTGTACGGTTCGGTGTCAGTGCTGATGTCCCAGTCGCCTGCTCTGATGACGAACCTCTCTGCTCGGTTCGAAACGCAGTGGGCTACGGTAATGGCTGCCCTGGAGTGGATGAGGGCTCCCCCGCATTTCGGTTTGCTGACGAGCTTAAGCATTTCCTTTTCTGGTATGACGGCTACCATCCACGGGAATTCCCCGATTTGGGACTCGTTGAGTTCGTCGCCTATTATTTTGACGCCTAGACCGTTGGGGCGGCGATAACCACATCCCCTGGGATAGGAAATTGGAGAGGGGGTGGTGGTTAGGGGAGTAGAGGAGATGTCTTCTCGTCTGCAGCACACCTCGAACATGTTGGAACAAGGGCCGTCCTTTTGCCTGGGGAAGAAACCATTTTTTTACTGGTTGCTGTGCCATATTTTTTATGTTTCTGATTTTGCTTACCTGATATCGAGTATACCACTACCATCGGTGTTTATGGTGCCGTTTCGGCAGAGATAAAATGGCACGCACTCGTGTTGACAATCGTCTTTCGGGTTGTTTCCCAAATTCGGGTCCAAATTGAGTTTGGAATCGGTAGAATTTTCTTCTAGAAATTTCGTTATTTCGTCCCACATTTCTGCGGTTAGTGATTCCAGAGCAAGTGAAACATAGAAATTCGTCAATGTGAGTAGAATGAAGAAGACTGATTTCATCTGAAAGTTAGATAGGTGAGTAAGTTGAAAATATCTAGACTAAGTAGCTAGAGACTTACCATAGCGACCATAATTTGGGATTTTTTTTGGTGGAACATTAATATTCACTTTTCATAATCAATTTCATTCTGGTATGAAATCACTTTACACTGACAGCTATGAGATACATAATGTTAATGATATATCATTATGTAGGTGAACAAACAGAATTCAAAATTAACATCTGACTAATAGATTTGACCATAATATAACGACATCGAAAACACTAATTGACATTTGATTTGGAAATGGTATTTTTTGAGACGAGTGTATTACGCCAATCGTTGATAATTAACATGAGTATACCAGGTGATTTCTTTACGTACCTCTATTGTTCATGGGGTATCTTCTGTAGGTAATGAGTGTGGAAAAATTCAATTTTCATGATGGTGGACATACAGTGTGTGTCATCTCTATTAACAATACCCTCCTAATTTGGAATCCGTTTACCAATTTTTGATAGCACGAGCTCTCTAGGAGAATGAGAATGAGAATCTGGATTTCAAGGCCTACTACTGTTTGATGAAGGGGTTAAAATTTCAAAAACGACTATTAGGCGGTTTATTTTCCGTAAAGTAGCCTGTGATCAGAATTCTGAATCTTGAAGCACACTGTATTTTTTTCAATTAGATTCCAATAGATAGTGAATCAAAAGGTATAAAGGAACATGTAAGCTGTTTTGATCGATAATGAATAGTTTCGACACAAAAAAATCCTAAAATTGAAAAATCTCGATTTTGAACACCCTATATTACTGTAATCATTCCTGCTAGACCCCGAGTGTGATGCATTGATGAAATCAGCTCGTCAGGAAGAATCTAAAAATGCAATAAAATACAGGGCGTTCCATTTGAATTAACAAAGTTGCTAGTTGTTTCTGATAGAAGTGGCAACACTGTATCGATGAAAATATTGTAGACGGATAGAAAATGTCCAAATATCACAGCATATCAATTTTCAGAATGTTCTGTCTTTTCGTTCTCCAGATACTTCTAATAGGCCACCCTGTATATAATGTACTATATAATATCACGAAATTTTTGTTTTGGAAAATCAGTCAACGAGTTCCAAATTAGGAGGGTGTGCCAAGATGAAATCGCACACACTGTATATAACAACTTTGAGTGTGTATGAATGCTCTCACTTCCTAGAAAAAAAATTGAAAATGAAGTTGATGGCAGCATGTTAGTTTTCGCATAAATTTAAGCTCTAGGAAACGTTGGCCAATGCGTGCATCTAAATTTAAATCGTACTCTTTTTGAAACTCACACATATCGCAACTATAAATACGGTTTGGGTTGCATATCATATGTTAGTGACGTCAGCAGTTTCAATTCGCTTATAATACATCATTCTCGCGACTCGACCTGGCAGATGTTTCGAGTCAAATTAGAAAATCACTGGGAATTGATTTGATTCTCAACTCGAACAAGATCATTTCGATGTGTTTTCTTCACCACCTGAAAGTCTAGGTGTTATTGTTAATCAAACTCTCTTCGATGTTTATGACTGCCGATTTCGCTTTTCCTGATTGAAAATGGTTATACAGTGTGACCCTCATAAGACCGGAGCACCCGACCTGGCAGATGTTTCGCTGAACCAAATTAGAAAATCACTGGGAATTGATTTGATTCTCAACTCCAACAAGATCATTTCGAAGTGTTTTTTTCACCACCTGAAAGTCTAGGTGTTATTGTTAATCAAACTCTCTTCGATGTTTATGACTGCCGATTTCGCTTTTCCTGATTGAAAGTGGTTATACAGTGTGGCCCACTTAAGACCGGAGCACCCGACCTGGCAGATGTTTCGCTGAGTCAAATTAGAAAATCACTGGGAATTGATTTGATTCTCAACTCCAACAAGATCATTTCGAAGTGTTTTTTCCACCACCTGAAAGTCTAGGTGTTATTGTTAATCAAACTCTCTTCGATGTTTATGACTGCCGATTTCGCTTTTCCTGATTGAAAGTGGTTATACAGTGTGGCCCACTTAAGACCGGAGCACCCGACCTGGCAGATGTTTCGCTGAGTCAAATTAGAAAATCACTGGGAATTGATTTGATTCTCAACTCTAACAAGATCATTTCGATGTGTTTTTTTCACCACCTGAAAGTCTAGGTGTTATTGTTGATCAAACTCTCTTCGATGTTTATGACTGCCAATTTCGCTTTTCCTGATTGAAAATGGTTATACAGTGTGACCCACTTAAGACCGGAGCACCCGACCTGGCAGATGTTTCGCTGAGTCAAATTAGAAAATCACTGGGAATTGATTTGATTCTCAACTCTAACAAGATCATTTCGATGTGTTTTTTTCACCACCTGAAAGTCTAGGTGTTATTGTTGATCAAACTCTCTTCGATGTTTATGACTGCCAATTTCGCTTTTCCTGATTGAAAATGGTTATACAGTGTGACCCACTTAAGACCGGAGCACCCGACCTGGCAGATGTTTCGCTGAGTCAAATTAGAAAATCACTGGGAATTGATTTGATTCTCAACTCTAACAAGATCATTTCGATGTGTTTTTTTCACCACCTGAAAGTCTAGGTGTTATTGTTAATCAAACTCTCTTCGATGTTTATGACTGCCAATTTCGCTTTTCCTGATTGAAAATGGTTATACAGTGTGACCCACTTAAGACCGGAGCAATCTTATAAAATGTATAGTTTTTGACCGATTTCTTTTTTTTTTCTTTCCAGCAGAAGGGCTATCCGGAGATCTACGTTTACACGAATTTGCAAAATAAAATTTCAATCTACAGGGCATACTATATTATTTTTTTCATGTTAAAAATTGCGAAATATCATTAGCGATTTAAAAAAAAATCGACCCATCACTGAATTCAGCATCCTTCAATTAGGTTGAGCGCAAAATTTCATTGAAAAAGTTATAACAATATTAATTTTGATTGCTCACCATTTTTTATGAATATTTCAGACAAATATACAGGCGTTATAAATAGAAATAATTAATACTTCTAACTTCAACATCCTGTATCTCAAAAACGGAGCAAGATAGAACACATGTTTATATGAACCTTATTTATTGGAATGTCACAAGGAAACAAACAGTCCTTGAATTTTTTCAGTGTTATTTAGATACACCCTGTATAACCTTGTGCTCGGAAAAGCTTCGTTTCAGAGTAAGTACAGATTGTCAAAATTGATTTTTCTTTCGTTTTCCCAAAATTACTTTCGCTTAAAATTGACATGAAGTATCATAAAAATATTTGACACTGTCAATCAAATTCAAAAATACATCAGGGTCATCTTCACCAAAACTGATAACAATCTCATTCATACTTATTCTTTGCAAAAGATGTTTCGAAAAATCAAAAAAAGAATAATAATAACTTCAACAATTTTCGAAACGAAGTATTTGCGGACACAAGTTTATATGTTATACCCTGTATATAACAACAACATGAAGTGATATTATATCTCATAGAGAATGGCTAACTTGATTCGTTGTTGATGGAAAAATGAGAAAAGAAATCGAAAAAAATGGAATGCCAATATACAAGGTGTCCCAGAGCAATGTACCATAATTTCTACAGGGTGAATAAACTCACCTATATACGAAAATGGGCCGTTGAGCCGTGAGATGGCGATGAAGCATATAATTGAAAACCAAGAGGAATTAAAAAAACTGCAATAATTAGAAAAAAGTTAGATAATCAATTTTGTCATTCAGTGAGATATTACAATGTGGTCAGTGGGGAATTCCAAAAAAAAAATGTTTCATCAAATAGACTGCGAAATACTTATCTCCCTGTATATTGATTTTCTTCAACGCTTGGTGGACACTAAAGGGAATCAATATAATACTCGAAGAATATCGTGCGTACCTAGAGAGGATAGGGAGAGTAGGTAGGCCTTAGATTTTTTTAAACTTTCGAGGATTATAAGTTCTTGATGGAAATACTTCCTCAGGCAATAAATTCCAGAGCTTTCCCGTTCTATAGAGAAACGAGTTTTGATATAGTGCTGTTCGACATATTTCGAGGTTGACATCGAAATTGGCTGGTATTGCTTGTCGTGGAATAATTTCTGAAGAACATTTGCCGTGGAAGTATCTATAACAAAGTCGCCGACATTTCTACGGAAAAATTGATATGACATGTTTTTCATGCACATTCACGATAGTAAATTGCCCTACGAATCCTAGAGCAGTACCTTCAAAGGATTTTGACATATTCAAGAAAATCTGAAATTAAAATTATTCTTCAACGCTTATTTTGGTCTCTAGTTCACCCTATAGAATTTATGGTATGTAGGTACGTTGTTCTGGGACACCTTGTATATCGAAACGAATATCCTGTCCTGTAAACCAACAAGATCATATAATTTCGAGATCCTTAACAAATATAATGACTTCCTTCCACTAAATATACCTTCATAATGAATGAATCACCATTTCAACTCGAACACTAAGAAAACATAAATTGCAAATACAAAAGTGCTTCAGACTTCTAGTGATGATGCTTTCTCACTAAAATATACAAGTTTAATTAAGTTTATACAAACTAGTATGATAGACGTACATTTCGAACACATTGTATACATTACCATCATATTTTTGAACACATCGCGAATGAAATACATCCGCACCCAATTTATCGAAAGAATAATGCTTGTAAATCAATTAATATACCAATTCGCACTGTAGCATATTACTAAGATTAAAGGTGGTTTCACTTGTTATGATTTCGTTCTCTTTTTTGCAACATACAAAATGGTCTAGCTATCTGAGGTCTAGCTGCTAGATCTTATAGTGACAAAATGGCTTCATACTAGGGCTGTGCGATATTGAAAACTGGATATCGATATCGATGCACGCTTTGGTATCGATATCTATCGATATATCGATATATCGATATGTATCGATATGTATCGATATGTATCGATATGTATCGATATGTATCGATATGTATCGATATATATCAATTTATCGATATGTATCGATATGTATCGATATATCGATATGTATCGATATGTATCGATATATCGATATGTATCGATATATATCGATATATCTATATGTATCTATATATCGATATGTATCGATATATCGATATGTATCGATATATATCGATATATCGATATGCAGGTCGATATATATCGATATAACAATATGTACCTATTTATCGATATACACAATACACAGTGTACACCGTACACCTCAGGTGTACAGACAGAGTGTACACAGTACACTACACAAGTACACACACACTACACAGTCACACACAATCATGAGATAAT